GGATGAGACCCTCCCATCAGGACAGGAGGCACTTCTTTACACCAACAGTGGCGGGGGCGTGGAACAGGCAGCCCCTCCACGCTACCCTGGAATCGATTGGCTGTTAACTGCAGAACGAGACCAGAGGGTCTGAACAGCCTCTTCCCTTCTGAAACGTTTTGCTGGAAGGCTCTAAAGGGGAGCACTCTTAACACCGCGACAGCTCAGGCTTTCAGAGAAAGGCCCCCTGCTGCCAGATCCGGTACCTGGCTTGATGTAGACCAGGCTGGCCTGCTGCTGCTGCCTCCTCTTGATGCGGATGTACTGCTTCTTCAGCGCGCTGATGTCGGTGGTCATGCGCTCCATCATCATGCTGTTGAAGGTGGCCTGGTAGTCGCTACGACTGGCGTCCACGGCGCCGGGGCTCAGCTCGGCGATGTTCCCGCAGGAGCGCAGGCTCTGCTCCCCCTTGTGGTCTGGGCGGGGAAACGCAACCGTCATCGGCCAGCCGAGACCAGACAAGGGCGAGACAAGGGACAAAGGGGGCAGGCAGACCGCGCTGGGGTCCTGGGTTTGATTCCAAAATTGACACAGTGGTTAGCATTGCTGTGCATTGGGGCTATCTGGGTGGAGTTTGCATGTTCTCCCTGCATTTGTGTGGGTTTCCTCCCCCAGTCCAAAGTCTCCTGGGAAACATTGACCCCACTGTGGCTCTGTGTGCCCTGTGATGGACTGGCATCCCATCCAGGGTGTACCCTGCCTGGCACCCATGGCTTGCCAGTATCAGCTTGGCCCAATTTGCTTCTCACAAATTACAAGCCCAGTACCAGATGGTGGTTTCTCCTGTCTGCCAAGGGGCTTTTTGTTTCTTCCTCACACAAGCCTTAAAACAAATTTAACTCAGCGTGAGGGAGTTGAGATTAGTTTTGTGCTTAGCAGCTGAATTTTCATGCAGACCCCACAAGGATTGTCCAATCTGTGCTAGTGAATACTCCAATTAAGAGCCAGAAATTGGGGGAATTTGTTTCGGGATTTTTCTGGATGCTTCCAATTGAGACATGACATACATGCCACATAAAAACCACAGCCCGAATACGAGTAACAGACAGACATTGAGGCAGCCTCCATTATAACGCAGCAGAAACCTGCTTGGCAAACAGCCATTGCTAAAGGAGAAACGACAACTGCAGTCACACAACATTAATTGGGATTTACTGCTTTAAAAAAAATTGGATCGTTTTTTGTATTTTGAGGATGGGGGGGGAAAAAACACTTACGGCCTCATCTTTGAGTTTTAACTCAGTTCACATAAACCAAAGCTTGGACTTATGGTACCACATTGCAGACTTCAGGAATTTAACTGTCAGAAATACCAGGTAGGACATGTGTGTTGTGAAATGCACTGTACACATTACGGCAAAGAGGGTATTGACGTATTCACGTTCTTCATCGCAAGACATTAAACAGAATAAGAATGTTACAGCCAGGAAAACTGAAACTGCTGGGCAAATTGACAACAGTCCAGACGTTCCCCTAGGAAACTTCCTAAAGACAGCCATTCTGCTGGATGAAGCTCAGATCAGTTCAGTGCCATGATTAGGAACAGTGTAGTCGCAAGTGTTACATCAGTGATCCCAGCTAGACGGCTCCACTACTGGCATGTTCAAACAAGTATTTTTCTTTCGGTCTCTTGAGCCAGTGAAGGGAGTTCAGCAGCATGTAGGCAGGGGGTTCAATGGTCTTTTATTTAGGGTGGGATAAAAAAAGAGAAATATATTTGTCAATTTCAGTTGGGTTTTTAAGTATTTTGTGTAGCCCTGCATGTTTTTGGCATCTCCAAGAATTCATTGGTCATTTTAAAGTTGTAAGTGGTGCTCTGGGACAGGGTGGAGCTGCTTATATCACACGGCCCTAATTATATAACCGGAAAACTGAATTGCTAGTGCCGAACAGGACTGTCGGTCAAGACCCAGAGATTTTCCTTAGCCCCCTTAATCGGTTTTGGATTACCCTAGCCTGTCCTTAGCCAGTGCTCGATGTTTCCTCAAAGCTGCCTTTTTCTATTTACCCGTTACCTTTAAAAGCGTGGACTTATCAGAATAGCCAGCCTCCCCCAAAACCCCCCAGCTGGCATCTCGGCAGACATCCTGTCTTTGTGCAAGTCAGTCAAAGGGCAGGAAACAGAAATCGAGCAGCGCTCGCTAGCAGGAGATGAGGGGCTGAAGACATGGGCTCGAGCCAAGCAGTGCCAGCGGGACACATTCCTTAAAGAGGAACTTGTAGGCTCAGACCGGTTATTACATCGCGGCAGCAAAATCAATTCACTCGTGGTCTGGAAAAACTTGACAGGTTTTAAATTGAGCACAAAATCGTGAATTTTGCCAAAGTACTGGATAGTCTTCATGTTGTCGCAAACCCCTGGTCTTGCCGTGGGCTAGAGACAGAGTTGGAGCAAATTGCAGCCCTTCCTGCTCACTAGTCCCTGTACTGACTGAGGGACTGTGATGGACGAGCGGATAAGTACAGGTTGTGCAGCAGACATTTCACCACAGAAATGTTCCAACGTGATCTGCAGGCAGAGTTAACGAGAACTATTTCTGAGAGCGATATTTCTATTGGATTAGAAGAGCTGGATTCACAAGCCTGCTTGTCTACAGTGTCACAGGGCCGCTTCACCTCACCGGAGGACTTGTGGCCTCGTTCTGAATCGCAGAACACGGCGCTGCGCAGACCTGGAATTTTAGTCTGTTTTTGCGATGGAAGTCGGAGGTTTTAAAAGTTGCTGTGTACCTTTTTACTTCCATCGTGGCTCATCAAAGCTGGTTCTTTCTAACCCCAAAATCTAAAAATAGCAGGTGCAGTTCCACTCCTGCTGCTGGTGACCCACACGCCTGCTGGTTTGTGTTCCAGCTGAGCCCTCAGTTACGCCATCATACTCCTCACTGTTTAAATAATGATCAAAGAAGAACTCCGATCAGACCCACCTTTCAGCTGCTTCTGGTAACTCTGCAGCTCTGGACCCAGAAGTCCACTGAGCGGCCCAAGGCATCCGATGGCACTGACCAGGGCGTCCTCATCGTCAATATCAATCTCTTCATCGCTGTCCCGGCCCCTTCCCAGTTTTCTGAAAGGGAGGAAAGAGCTTTAATGTTTTACCGCACCCCGAATGCTCTCGTGTAGGGTGGAGGACTAACTCAGGTCCGCCACTAGGTGGCGCTGTGTATCAGGGATGGTAACTACGTGTCCATCAAGAAAACCCTGGTCTGTCCAGGAACAGGAAACGCAATGCAGAGTTCTGCCTGTCTGCAGGAGATTTACAAAGCACACTTTCTACCGTTTCAGCTTCCGTTTGGCAAGGCGATGGGGAGGATGCCAGGAAGAAAGAAGAGGAAAGGGGAGGGCGTTATTTTTTTACCCCAGGGTCAAAAACTTTCCTGATGATGGCATGAGTAAAAGCTGTTGGGTTTTTCTTTGCAGTTTGCGGACGATTTTGCTTGGCGGCTCCTTTCAGTCCTAATATTTCCAAACCGTTTCATCATCGGGTGTGGATGAATGGGGCATGTTTTTATTCAAATACGTGCCTGTATCAGCACATTCGCAGGAAGGCCTGTCTAGATTAGACATATTTGCATGCTACTGTACAGTACAGCATATCTCACCTCCTGCAAAACAAACAGGAGACAGGTACAGTGGAAAGGGTTTCATTTTGTTGCATAGCAACCATTACCCAAGATAACACCTTTCCCATTTGAGTCTGTACAGTACTAGGCCACTCTCTAAAAATCTGTACAAGTTCTATTCCCTATATATTACGTCTTCTTTTATTATATCTTTGCACACTTCTGGAGTAAATTCTAGACTACCTAGAATCCAGTTTTAGTAGAGTGAGGTTTGCAGAGGATCCAACTGCAGGCAAGCATTACAGGAACAGTAAAGACAGAGCAATAAGACTCTGATGGGTGTGTCCAGGACTGGGCAGACACCTAACAAATAAACTCGAGGAACCAGATATTTGATGACAAGGATTTAGATTTTAGTTTTTGTGGACTCATCCAAAACCTTATCCACACAGTGTGGCAAAACTTTAAAAATGACCCACATAATGTTACACAACCTTGTGTACAGTGTAAAACTCAAGTGTGGAAATATAAATATAAGTGTGTAATATGAATTGCACCATATGCTTCAAAAAATGCATTACTGTTCTGGAATTGCTTCTGAAAGACAGGTGAACGGGTAAATTCTTGTCCCTGGAGAAGCACCGTAAATAGACAATTTAAATAAACGTAGTCTCTTTAGCCTGGGGCAGAGATCATAAAAGAACAGTGTGTGTAAATCAGCTTTTGCTTATTTGGTAGCAGGTAGCTAAATGAATCTAACACTTCTTACGGCTAATTTTTGAAGGAGCCAAGAATGGGCCTAAACCATCTGGCTTGGAAACTTGTGCCAGACAACCACAACTCTTTGAGTACAGAAGTATTGCCTGACGCCTGGAACCAGTCAATACCCGGCCAGCCAGGTAGGCACATCTTTACACAAAGGCGTAGGGTAGTGGGAGTGTGGAACAAGCTGCACGGTCATGTCCTTGAAGCAGAGACCCTGGCTTCTCTCCAGACACAGCTGGGTGAGCTCCTCCAGTCAGGACAGGAGGCTCTTCTGTACACAGAGGGTGGTGGGGGTGTGGAACAAGCTGCACTGTCATGTCGTTGAAGCCGATACCCTGGCTTCTTTCAACAGGCCTGCTCGAGATCCAGCACGTCTTTACACAAAGGGTGGTGAGAGTATGGAACCCAAGGTGTCTTCTGGTTGAGATCATTCACTGGCTATCATCTCCAAAGAACAGAAAACCTGGTCAGTTACTTCTGTGCAGTCTTCAGAAACCATGGGATACACTAGGTGTTGTGTCGCTCATACAGGGATGGTCATCTCCACTGGAACGTACGATAACAGTAGGGCAGCGTATGCTGTCCTGTTTCAGATTATATTTCATGGAAAATACTTGCTTTTCCCAAAATCCCCAGAAGTTGTGGAGTAAGGGAGTAAGAATGCCACAACTCTCGTCTAAAGGAATCCCTTTATACTGAAAGCAGAAATGCTTGCCATTTGTTCATTATGGCAGAAATGAGGCAGAGAAACACTACCTGTTAAGCGATCAGCTGTGAAGTCAAGTGAGTGCATGCAAGCACCTTTTACAACAGAGACACCACAAGTTCATGGGTCTATTTGCAATGTAAATGTACGACTAGTTCTGTTAGGAATTTTCGCCAAACAGCATTTACAGCTCAATGTTTTATGCACAAATTCCCTGGATGGACTTGACCTGCAAGCTGCTAAGCAGTTCAGAGAAGTGGGACCTGTGGCTGTATAATTTCTATTTTACTGCTTATCACCAGACGAAGTTTGGAATCGGTGTGTGGTTCTACCTTATAATAGTGCTGCAGAAGTTTATTAAGGCTGCAGAATGAACTGGGAAACACAAACCAGAGGACACAAGTGAAAAAGATGTGGAAGTGCACTTAAAACAGAGAAGAAGAGGCTCTTCTTTACACATAGGGTGGCGGGGGTGTGGAACAAGCTACCCAGCCATGTGGTTGAAGCCAATAGCCTAGATTCTCCCGAGCCGTAGATGGAAGAGATCCTCCAGGCAGGACAGGAGGCACTTCTTTACGTAAAGAGTTGTGGGAGTGTGGAACAAGCTGCCCAGCCATGTGGTTGAAACCAATACCCTGGCTTCTCTCCAGAAACAGCTGCATGAGACCCTCGGCTCACCTAACTACTCACAGACTGAAAAGCCACTTTAGAGCCACTGATCTGACACCAGGCATGCAGACAAACTCCACCGCCTCCTTCCACCCACCCTGAGCTGGTCTTGACATGAGCAGGGAAGGGAGTGATGTTGTAGGTATACTTCTCTCTCAGCTCCGCCAGCTGAGGGAATGGAAACGCTGCCATGGAGTAGACAGTCTGCAAGAGAAGGAGAAGGAGAAGGTGTAAACTGGACAGCTCTGGTTAACAGGTTACTATGAAGCGTAGGGTAGGTATTTCTATCAAGTGAGCAAGGTTTCATCTTTCATTTAATTCATCCAACAATCTTTCAACCAGCTGGGTTGCAGAGGAGCCAGCCTATCCCAGCAAGTAATGGGTACTAGGTAGGGTACCCATGGACAGAACACCACATCCCAGGACACACACACACCAGAGCCAATATCCCCAGGAGCCACTTAACCAACTAGGATTCGGCTGTGAAGCCTTTTTCAGGTGTGTGAAAACCTGAAAAAGACTCCACAGCCAAAGGGTTGTGTTTTCTCTTTTCAGCATGGAATAAACCTATTACTTGTTTCGTTGCAGACTACGCACCTAATCTATGAGGATGTTTATTTGGACTGTAGGAGCAAACCAGAGCACCTGTACAGAACATACAAACTCCCCACAGAAGGCACCTAAGGAATTTAACCTGACCATTGAGCCACCCTCCCATCCCATTTAATAAATTTTCTTTTTATTTTTATTTGTTAGGTTCCCAACAGAAGATCTGGACGTTAGCAATAATTGCTATAGTCCTGTTGAGAATGTCCTAGATTCGTTTAACATCCAATGGATCCGGACTGGAAGGAAAAACCCAGAAACGCCGAGTTTCCATCTGGATCTGGACTGGCAAAAGGGAAAACCTGGAACCGGATCTGAAATTCCAACTGGATCCGGACTGGCAAAAAGGAAAACCCGGAAACCGGATCCGAATTTCCAACTGGATCCGGACTGGCAGGGGGAAAACCCGGAACCGGATCTGAAATTCCAACTGGATCCGGACTGGCAAAAAGGAAAACCCGGAAACCGGATCC